TTGCTGCGATCCTTGGTGATGGCTCTGTCGTGACATGGGGCGTTGCTGGCTTCGGTGATGACAGTAGTGCCGTGCGAGATCAGCTGAAGAATGTGCAGCAGATTCAGGCAAGTCTTGAAGCTTTCGCTGCGATCCTTGGTGATGGTTCCGTCGTGACTTGGGGCGATGCTTACGAGCGTGGTGACAGCAGTGGTGTGCGTGATCAGCTGAAGAATGTGCAGCAGATTCAGGCAAATCATCGTGCTTTTGCTGCGATCCTTGGTGATGGCTCTGTCGTGACCTGGGGGGTTGCTGGCTTCGGTGGTGACAGTAGTGCCGTGCGAGATCAGCTGAAGAACGTGCAGCAGATTCAGGCAAGTCATCAAGCTTTTGCTGCGATCCTTGGTGATGGCTCTGTCGTGACCTGGGGCGTTGCTAGCTTCGGTGGTGACAGCAGTGGTGTGCGTGATCAGCTGAAGAATGTGCAGCAGATTCAAGCAAGCCATTATGCCTTTGCTGCGATCCTTGGTGATGGCTCCCTCGTGTCCTGGGGTGATGGTGATGCAGGCGGGGTGGTGACAGCAGCAGCGTCCGAGATCAGCTGACGAATGCCAGCATGAAGCACATGAACAGGCCTCTACTACGATTCTGGCTGATGGCACCATCGAGACCTGGGGCGATACTTTCTTATGTAGAGACGGCATTGCCTTACGAGTTCAGGTGCAGCGCATCCAGGAGCAGCAAGCGAAACGGTTCTAGACATGTTCGTGCTGTTCGGCGCTTCTCAGCGTCTTTCCAAGCCTGCCCTGGTATTCCATATAGATTCCCTTCATCCCAAAGCTCCGAGGCAAAAATAAAGCTCCGAGACTAGAGCAGATCCTAACAAAGTTTTCAGGCCCTATACACATATGCCGTTGATCGACCCTAGTGAACGAGTGTTCCCAAAAGGTATTTTGCTTATGTCTTGCTTTATTCCTGTTCCTTGTGCGAAAATAAAGCTGTGCAAGACATAGGTGGTGCCTGGGTCAAGTCGCCGCAAAATCAACCAAAAGTTGCTGACTCGACCCGAAAGCCCAGTCTTCAGGATTGGGTTTTAGGTTTTGGGGTTTTAGTGCTTAGGTCTTTACAGGTTTCTAGGGTTTCTAGGGTGCTTAGGCTTGGAGGGTTTATAGCTTAGGTTCGTGTGGAAGATTTCGGGATTCCGGATTATACAAGTTCGTTTGTTGTGTATTTGTCTACGGGTTCTTGAAAGGTACTAGAGTGGTTTGTGGTTTTGGGTTGGGGTGTCTGGGAACTCCTACCAAGGCTTGAAAGCAGTGCAAGCAATGGCCCGTTTGAACAGAATTCGGAAAGATTTCGGGTCGATCTGTAGAACCGCTTGAGCATGAGATCAATTGACGCCCCAGTGAAAGTGAAAGCCCCATGATGCTCCGTTGGCGCGGTCTGATGTCAGCACATGAAGTAAGCATGGGCGTTAGGGCAAACAAAAGTGTAAGGTTTCAGATTTAGCGGCGTAGAGCAGAAATCCTACACCCCAAAACCCTAAACGCTGATCCGTATCATTCGGCCAATGAGTGCTCGAGTGCGGGTTTGGTACAAGAAACAAGGGTTCGGCGTGAACCGTTGAAGGCTGTGGGTTTGGGGTTTAGACCCTTTTAAGAAACACTAAACAAAGTAGTCCAGGGCTTGGGGATGTGGGGCCTAGGGTTCGGGGGAACTGGCGTTCAGCATTCAGGATCAGTAACCCGTGTGGACTTGTAACCTCGCAGGCTTGCCCCAGTTGTGAGTGCTGAAACCCCGCCTCCTAGCTTAGACTTAGAACCTATATACCCTACACGTCTTGCAGCACAGGCACCTCGCAGGTATTTCTTCGGGTCGGAGTTGTTAGTAGCAGCAGTCATTAACTACATAGGTACGCTGGACTATCGACCTAAAGCCACAATCAAATTGTTAAGGCCTTGGCAGAAAACCCTCCATCTCTGAACCCTAAACCCTAAACCCCGAAACCCCTATTAAACCCTAAGCCCTCTATCTCTGAACCCTAAACCTAAACGCGGAAATCCACGCTTGTTGAGACAGGTCCCCAGACTGGACCTCGAGAGGAGGCTGGAGAAGCCCTTGGGCTTGTACTGAAACCTTTAGAATACTATTGGGGGTATAAGTCCCCTAAGTGGAGGTATCCTGATTATAACCTATTTATAACCTTACTTACTAAGTCCCATGAGCCTTTAGAATAGGGTCCTGTAGCCGAAAGGGCCTACCTTCTTTTCGGTTACTTATTAAGGTTTCTGTATATAGTTCCTTAACAAGGTAGGTTTTTTCGGCTATAGGTAGGGTTTGGTGCTTAGGGCTTTTGGGGTGTTCGGTTTAGGGTTCCTAGTTGCTGTCAGCAGTTCTGAGAATGCTCTCTCCCGTCACATGCATCGGCCTCATTACGGGTTCACAAAATGGGTTTAGGGGTTTCGGGTTTTAGGGCTACGGTGTAGGGTTGAAGGATATACTTCTGTTTCCTTGGAGCTTACGGTTCAGGTTTAGGTACTACTATACTTTAGGGTTCGCGAATGTATTTCTACTATAATCTTTGTAAAGAGCCTACCCTGATTGTCAATGCCCCGATATGATGTCCAACTATATCCCTTTATGATCGAACCCTTGTAGAACATTTATGGAAATCCACAAGAGCGAACCATACAAACAAAACAATATCTACAATCCCAGAGTACCATTTTAGAGAGCCCAGGTGAAAACCGTTTCCAAGCCCAGCCGACATTCCTGCAAGGCCCTATGAAACCCGCACCACCACTACACCACCACCACCAACCTAAACCCTGAACCCTAAACCGAAATGGCTGTAGTCATCTATTCAAGACAGACACCCTGCAATGCGGGCTTCGTCCTTGCTAGGTAGGAGGGAACAAAAACCGAAACACCAAGCCTCCGAGCTCAGGACACCGTCGCCCTCGGCGCAGAAAGCTGGCTTGAGGCTGCAGAGAACGAACTCCAAAGAGTCGCCTTCCAAGGTTCGGCGGGCCTTGCTTTGTTTTGCTTTTTACAGACTGTAGGATTTGGGGCTCATGGATTACAGGATTATAGGCAGATAATTTGCGAGGCGCGGGCTATGTACGTAGGTCAAGCTTCCCCTCCCCGAAAGCCTTTAAACCCTCCACCAGAAGACCACGAAACTCTAAGCCCCAAAGCCCAGACCGAAGCCCCAAAGCCCTAAAGTGCTTTCCTGTCCCTGTACAGGCCGCCGAGGCGAGAGAGCTGGCTTCAAAGCCTTCTGTCGTGCTCCCACTGGGCTTCACCCAAGAGCAGGTCCTTGGGAAGAGACTTGGAAGTGCGTTCACAATCGTTTTCATTCTTCATGTTTCGGAAAGAAATGGGTTTAGTGAGGCTGCAGCAGTTGGACTGGCAGCAACTCCTACAGGTAGCATTCGTTATGTGTTGGTTTTCTTTGAACCGTCATTTCAAGGAAGGCAGCAGGAGGCCATGGAATCACACATTAGATGTGGCAGTCGTTTCCAGGATACCTTCGAGTCAGGGTTTAGGCTTTGGGGCCTGGGCCTGGATCCCCAGTATAATCAGTATAAGTTGAGGAATATGTTGCTTCTTCAGCAAATGTCTGGATCTTCGGGGTACCGCCCTCCCCTAAACCCTAAACCCTAAACCCCTAAACCCTAAACCCGGCGTCATGCTCAGGAGCGGTGAGCGCACGGTGATACACGCACCATGGCTTACCAGAGTGTCCGGTTGCGGGGACGGGACCGGAGGGTCCTTGTGCATCAAGGAAAGTTTTGCGGAATAGTCCAGGGACCTGATCCCTAAACATAGCGGACTTAGCGCCTGCAGCCATGCCTACCTTGCGCGAGTGTGTGAGTCGAAACATCTGAAGAAATCCTAAAGCAAACCCTCTACCCACAGGCCCTTCGATGCCTTCTGCCACTGACCGGAAGATTTGCAAGTCTCAGGCCAAGAATGCTCAGCAGGAGCACGTGGTCGTCAAGGCCGACATGTTCTACTAACCTCAGCATCCCCCATCTGGACACCAGCAGCACTCTTCATGCCCTGCCTGGGATGTTAATACTAATGATTAATGTTGCAGGATCAGTTCTGAACTCAAGGTTTCCGAACCTTAAACCTTAAACCTTCTAAAATCGCACCTGAACCCCAACAAAGAAGTCGTAACACCCATAGCCAAAGACTGGCTTTATGAGGTTCGGGGGGGGCTCTGAACCGACCTTTTCCCCAACCCTTTCCGGCCCCTTCCGTCCTTCCTCCACGTTTCGGGCTGCGGTTTTGCGACTTGAGGAAGAAAGAGGCTATGGGCCTTTCGGTAAAGACGGTTCGGTGTATTAGGCTATACCTGGACCCTAAGGAACCTACCTTCTTAGGGTTCCCTGATACGACTTCTTCATATAAGTCCTTGAAAAGGTAGGTTACGTGGGGTTAGGGTAGGGTTTGGGATTTATGTTCAGGGAGTTGGAGGTAGGGTTTAGGGTTTAGGGTTTAGCGTCAGCCCAACATCCGAAACCGCCCACGAAGCCGGCAGAGCTCGACAGCTGTCGTCTAGGCTTGAGTGGAGGTCCGAAGATCCCTTTTCATTTTCTTGATCAATGTCACCCCCCGAAAAAGCCCTAAGCCTTACATGCCCTAGCAACCTCCCGAAACCTCGAGGAATGCCACCAGCGACATTTAGTGCAGTCAGACCCCGTGACGCCACGGCTCAGTCGGCAGCAGGAATTGGACTGACAACAGCAACAACGAACAAGCGATGCTCGTACTGAGAACGCTCATGAGAAGAGATACTTGTAAAACCCAAAACCCTCAACCCTAAACCCCTAAGTCCTAAACTCTAACTAGTAGCGGAAGCACCCACTTTCGCCGGCTGCTAAACCCTAAACCCTAAACCCTTAAAACCCTTAAACCCTTAACCCTTAACCCTTAACCCTTAAACCCTTAACCCCTAAACCCTAAACCCTAAACCCTTAAACCCTAAACCCTAAACCCTGCATCATGCGGCCATGTCGGATGGGCCGAAGTTCGATGCAGACGTCCTCGTGATCGGAGCCGGGCTCGCTCCGGTGCGGAAGAATTCAGAGCCCACTTAGGGGGTACCTTTATAGGGATACATAAGGGTTCCTTAAAGGGATCTATAAAGGGTTTAGGGTTTCCGAAATTTAGGGGTACCTTATTTGGGGCCCTTATGATCCCATTATATAGGGTACTAGATTAAGGTCCCCTATTTTCGGACCTTTTTGGGGTCCCTTTTACAATACGGCACCTATTATTATGGGGGCCCAAAAAGGGACCTTGATATTGACCAGAACCCACATACTTAAAGGCTCGTGGGACTTAGCAAGCAAGGTTGTAAGTAGGTTACCCCACTTATAGTGGGCTTGTAACTTATAACTTATAGCCCAGTTATAACCTACTTACAAAGTCCCATGACCCTCTAGTCTAAGTACCTTAAACAATAACGGGCTTCATAATGTGGTTTGCACTATAATCCGTAATGCGGGTTGTATTGGGCTCCCTGGGGTTTCAATCTCTTCCCGTTAGAAGCTGCCCCCACCCTGTAATAGTGGTATAATGGGAATATAATAGGGCCCGAATATAATCCTATATAATCCTTATGGTCACTATTACAGGGTGGGGGCCCCTTCTAAGCGCTGGGTGACTTTGAGGCTGCCTTCTTGCTTGGAGGCTTAGCATTTGTGGTTCTGTGTTTGGCTGTGGAACTGTCATCGTGGATACATCTGTATGATTCTTGCTTACTTGCTTGTGGGATGACGTAGCTTATGTTTGCTTGTGTTCCTGTTCTTACATAAGTACATTCATAGGCACATGACCCGGAGCCCGAAGCCTTGAACGCTCAACCTATAGAGCTGTAGATGCCCTAGAGCCTAGATCTGCAAATCTGTAAACCCTGAGGCCTTCAACCTCGGTTTCGGGTTTAAGGTTTAGGAGTAGACGGTAAGTAGAAGGAGTAGACGGTAAGTAATAGCTGAGGCTGGGCTAACCGCCGCGAGGGTGCTGCACGCTTACGGGGGCCGAGCTTTGGTACTTGAGGCAAATGCAGTGCTCCGGTGGCGGGAGGGTTTTGGGTTGCAGGGGTTTCGGTATTGGGGCTTCAAGGTTCCGGATTTTCGGTTTAGGGTTCCAGGTTTCAGGATTTCGGTTTAGGGTTCAAGGTTTCCGGATTCCGGTTTTGGGTTTAGGATTTGGGTATAAGGGCTTCGAGGTTTCAGGGATCCGGGCTTTAGATTTGGGGCAAGGGTCACCAAATCCATTCATGTTAAGCTGGTAAGACGTAGAATCTCCAAATCTTTCCTTAACCCTCAACCCTGAAACTCTTGAGCCTTAAACGCTCTAAACCCTGCGAGTTTCTGGTGAGTCGCTGCGCGGGGGTTTCGGGTTTTGGGGGAGGCAGTGAAGGCCGGATGCCAAAAGAACGTTGGGGTTGGAGGTTCAGGGTCTTTGGTTTGTATTGGGGCTTCTACAGGCCTTTCGCAACTGAGATTTTGGCAAGACCTCGGTTGTCTACTACAAAATATATCATACAACCCTCATCTCACTGGCAGGGGCGTGCCACTGAGAAGAGTAATGTGCAAAAACTATACATAATCAGAAAATATAGCAAATACAGCAATAAGTAGGATTACTCTTCCTGCTACTACTGCCAAGAAAAGAAGAAAAATAATATCAATAGTATCACTACTGACAAACACTGGTAAGTCGAAGTGTCGTTATCAGCAGGCTGCAGCGAAGGGTACACACTTCCCAAGGATGCTCCGAGAGAGCCCAGTACCCGTGAATTATGGAATGCACCTTGCATTACAAAGGTCTTCATAGTATGATTTAGGCTCGGTTAAGGGGTAGTGGGCGCTCTGGGCCTGTTTCGGTTTGTGCAGAGCCCCAAGCGTAAAGTGAGGCGCGAGACACTGCGATGTGTTCAGCTTGATTGACAACCTGAACATGCCCGAAAGGCTTTGTAAGTTCCTCTACAATTCCATGTGACTTGAATTTGGCATTTGTTTTGTAGTGCTTGGGGCAAAGCATCTCGTATTTTGGCTCCCTGCCTGTTGAGGCGCGGGAACGCCTCGGGGGTCGGGCGGCCACTAGCGAGCTGACAGGAGGAGTCAGACTTTGGGTTACGGAATTCTCCCATGTTTGGGTCTCGAAGTTTAGGGTGGAATCTTATGCTGCGAGTTTGAGAGCTTCGGGTGTTCAGGATTCATATCGGCAACTTCGGGTTGAAATTTAAAGCCCGTCCCTGGCAGTTTTTTTGCTCAGGGCTGCCTCGAGACTTGTGCACTACCCGGAAGGTGCTCAAGCTCGGATACACCGGAAGCCCGGAGATGAGGATTTGCGGGGATAAGGGGGACCCTTTAAGGGTCCCTTTAAAGGGATCTATGGGGATTCTATAGGGGTATAGGGCTTAGGGTTTAGAGGTTTGGGGGTTTACGGGGTTTAGGGGAAAAGGAGGGACCCTTAATGGGGACCCCTACCCTATAATGGGCTATATAATGGGTATATAGTAGCTATATTAAGGGCATATACCTAGGGGTCCTTATTAGGGGTCCCTCCTTTTCCCCTTTTACAAGAGCATCGGTCCGGCATGAACTGGGTTCCCAGAAATACCCACCGGACAAAACAAAGTAGAGCCGTTAAAATGTCCTCAGCCGACAATTCAATACTGGCGACGATGGTCGTGGATAGCCATGGTACTTTTGATCATGGTCGTCATCACGGCTATGATGCTTCATCCGGCATTCTACTGTTGGCGATGATAGCAAACAGCCACAACCAGGTTGGGTAACTGTAGCCGTCGACCCTGGATCTGTTGACCGAAGCAGGAAAGGGACGCCCGGATCTCAGCCCGGCACCCGTGGAGGAAGGCTGTGCCCGGCAAGCAGAGTTCTGGTCCAGGCTTCCGGGTGCTTCTCATGGGCTCCAAGCATCGCCGAAATCATGATCTAACCGTCCTACAGAATGATTTCTCCTTGCTGTTAGCATGATGAAAGAATGTGTAGTGGGTAGTAATATTCGCTGACCCGCTGAGATCACCAGCGTAGCAGTAGCAATAGTCGAAGGAGATGGTGCTCGCATATAGTGGTTTTGGTACAAGCGGTGTGGGGGCAGCAGGTTTAGTAGACAGTAGTAGTAGTAGTAGTAGTAGTAGTAGTAGTAGTAGTAGTAGTAGTAGTAGTAGTAGTAGTAGTAGTAGTAGTAGTAGTAGTACTAGTAGTACTAGTAGTAGTAGTAGTAGTAGTAGTAGTAGTAGTAGTAGTAGTAGTAGTAGTCCTAGAAACAAACAAGAAGTAGCAGAGGTGGTCGTCGTTGTCGTCGTAGTAGTAGTAATAGAACCGAAGAAGAAGCGCTAGTAATACAGCTACTGCTGCTACTGCTACTCCGACTCCAGCTCCTCCAGCTGCTGAAGCCGCTGCTGGTGCTAGTTCCAGCAACAGCAGCAGCAGCAGCAGTGGCAGTAAGTAGCGGTAGTAGTAGTGCTAGACCTCACAGTACTTGTAGCAGTACAAAGACGAGTAGTCAGCACTAGCAGTATCAGGAGTAGCAGGGCAAGCTCGAGCAGCAGCACAAGCAGTTGCAAAGCACACCGCACAATTCATAAGAAAGAACTCAGCACCGACTGGGCATAATTCGGTGCAAGCACATGTCGCAAGGGGCTCTAGTTAGGCCTGTGGTGCCACGCGAAGGTAACTATCTCCACGGCTGCAGCGAGGACGCAAGGGGCTCCATGAGGCATCAGGGTCAACGATTGGATAACATGCTTCACGTGCTACAGGTCTGGCTGTTGAAGAGCAGTTTCCCATGGAAGTGCACCATAAGTATACATATATATATATATATGTCATAAGTCTCTCATATTGGTTCAACCTAGATCACGGCTGGATTTGGATGACGGACGAATATGGCCTCGAGCTTAAGGACCATGCCCAACAGCCGTTTCAACTGGCAAAAGGCAGTTGAAGCCTGAAGTTTCGAGCAACGAGGAAGCTAAAAACACACGAGGGCCAGGTAAGGGTTTTCCACCCAAAAATGAGGAACATAAACACTAAACACCGAACCCCGCAATACCTTGATCCCTGATGCTTTGAGAGCGATTGGGGAGAACCTGAAACCCCAAAAGCGCCAGAGAGGGGGATGGGACCACTTGGGGGGGGGGATTAATTTCAGGTTGGACTTTGGGCTAACCTAGATTGTGATTGGGCTCATTTGTTGCTTGGACGACTCATTTCCGTATAGTTGCAGTTTCACTCAGCAGACCTCGAACCAGATGCCTCGCCTTGATTCTCCGAGTATGAGCGCCGAAAGCGCCCGAGCCCCAATCGAAGCCAGAGAGCCCAATACCCCCCTTAGGTAAGGAGCATGACCTAAATCATAAGACTATGCCCCCCTATCATGTAGGGTTTTGATTCCTTAATCAAGCAGAATTGGGCTCTCTGGGACCTTCCTCTTCTTGCCGCCCTACACCACATGAGGACCATCCACTCTTTCTGCTTGCGGCTCGTCTAGGCATCCCCACCGCCGTGGCGGCGGGGGATTTAGGCTGCCGACCGGCTGAATAACTGATCTTTGGGTTTGGGGTTTAGAGCTTTAGGTTGGGGCTTAGGTTTGGGGCTTGGGGCGTAGGTCTTAAAGGGATTCAAGCGCGCTTGTGGGGGTTTGGGCCCAGGTTCAGGAATTCTGATTTTGACAGCCTTGTTGCGACACACCCAGAGAGCCCAATACTCGTTAATTCAGGAATACGGCAAAAATCATGCTATGAGGCCCCTTATGGTTTAAGGTATACTTGGAGGAGAGTCCAGGGAGTTAGTAAGTACTCACAAGTATAATGACCCCAATTAAATTAGGATCCCTGAAACGGTACTTTTTATACATCTACCTATTACCTACTTACTAAGTCCCCTGACCCTCCAAGTAGTTCCTAATTAGGTACAGTATATCATAACCTGAAACCCTATTCTAATTAATTATTAAGGCCCCGTAATAATGTCTAGTGTTCCTTTTCTCGCTTCAGTATACAGGGTTTAGAGTTTGGGGGGTATTGGGCCCTTTTGGCAGGCTTCTCTGGTGTCTTAGAAGGCTTTCGGCTGCCGGCAGACTTGTCGAATCGAAGGGGGGGGGGGGGTGCTTCCCTAGATTCCACCCTGGGCCTGAGAAAGGGGCCTGCATACTCTCAACTAGGTTATATTATACCATATATATATATACTTACAGGACTGGGTTATGTTATGATGTATATGCTTATAATGAGGAATCCCAAAAGAGTGTTAGTAATCTTTTAGGCCCCTGCATTACTGCGTGTTAGGCTGCCAGGGGCATGGTGCTCAAGGGATGTCTAGGGACTTCAGAAGTCACAAGGAACTGAAAAGCCTAAGTGTTGCCTGCCCGAATCATCACAGTTTTTACGGTAGGTGGAGCTGGATCGCAGTGTGACGGCAGACTGGTTGCAGTGCTTCGCCAGATAGCAGAATCGTGTGAGCCCCACTGAAACCCCCGAAGCCCGGATCCCATGGAGGTTGGATTCCCCCAAATTTGTTTTGGGTCATGGCTTCGGCGACAAGTGGCATGAGGTCAGTACACCGGCTGGGAATCTGCGGAAATCGCCGAACCTCGACTGCACATGCGAGATGTATCGCCGACGGCCTAAAACGTCGTAACACTGAGGAGGGACAGTTTAGTGTGCACTCTAGTTGCTTGCCAGTTCCAGAGAAGACTGACGACCTTGATGGTGGCCACGATAGTCGTGACGGCGTCAGTGTTTATGGTGAAGAAGATACAGAGCCAGTAATACGACGAAGGAGATGATCGTCGGATGAACACACGAAGCCGAGGACGGTGATGAAGGTGACGATGGAGTGATGGTCACAGGGCCCCTAAACCCTAAACCATAAACCAACCCAAAACCCCAAACCCTAAACCATAGTGTCGTCTCACTTTGCAGACTCCGAACCATATGCCTCGCCTGGATTGTCCGAGTGTGAGCGCCGAAACCCTAAACCGTAAGCTTGGCAGGGCAGCAAGTGGTATGTCTTCCAAGCCTCAGCAGTAGTGGATCCTGCTGCTTCTACTGCTGCTGCTGCTACTGCTGCTGCAGCTACTACTACTGCTGGTACTGCTACTGCTATTGGGTTGCCGATACTGCTACAATTACTAGTGCCACTACTGATACTATTTCGATTGCTAGCGCTAGCACTTTCTGGTACTAGTGCTTTAATTCATGATATCCGTGTTGTCACCATGGTTGTTGTTTATCGGTATTCTTGCTTTTTATTGTACTGAAATTGTTATTATAATATGGTTATTGTAGTGTTCGTGTATTATCAGTGTATTCTCGGTGTGTTAGTACGGTTTTTTTCTGCACTCTCATGGTCACAGTCTTTGCTCGTGCTTGTCTTCTCATGGAACGTTGTCATTTCCCCGTCATCGGCACTTCCGCGATACACCAAGTAGCACATGTTGCCGACATTTTTCTTCTTGAACGTGTTCAGGAGTGGCGGGACGCGGATCGAGGCAGGTACATGGAAGAGCCATGGAAGGTAATTCTCATCCAGAAAGGGGCTGCTAACCTCGAGAGACACAAGGAGTCTGGTGAGTCTGGTGTTGATGTCGGAGTGCGAGGTTTAGGCTCATTGGTCCGCTATCCTTGGCGACCAGTAGGCAACTTGTGCGTTCAAAGAAGTGACAGTGTGGTAAGTTGGAGGATTTTGCATGCAAGGGTCTGAAAATCCTGAACCTTAAACCGTACTTGAACACTTGTACCGGGTTCGTTTCGATTTCTGGTCCACGGTCACAGCATCCGCGCACTGAAGGGGGCCGCGCTGCAGTGCATGTACATTCATGTTTGTTTGTTTGTTTGACGCAACAACAAAAAACTGAAGTTTCAGAGAAATGGAACCCTTACCCCTAACCTTGAGCATAGAGACTGACAAGTAGGACACTCTTCGAATTAACCCCGAAGTTACGGTCGCCTACCCAGAGATCCCAGTACCCCTTAATTAAGCTTAAATTCAAAGGGGCTTCATAGTATGATATGATATATTCCTTCATTAAAGGGTATAAGGCTCTTTGGGTAAATTCTGGACCCCCAAAGTCATGTTCTTGCAGCACAGCACTGCTGGCTAACCGAGCTCTGGTTCTGTGTGAGTATAGAAGCCGAAAAACAGCAATGCTCTTCTTTTGGGCTTTAGGGTTCCTTGTTATACCTGCACATTTGTTATATACAGTCTACGCCAAAACCCTAGTCTAATTATTGAAGGCCTCGGCTCATAATAGTACAGAGCTATTTGCTTTGTGGAAAGGCTTAGCTTGTGAAATGGCGCCCTGGTGCCGTTCACAGACCCTGAAACAGGAGCGCTCGACCCACTGTGTAGGGTTTACATAGGGCTCTGGGGTTTCGGGGGTGATAGGGTTTGGGGGATGCGAGTTTAGGGCTTTAGGGTTTAGAGGATGAGGGTTTAGGGTTCAGGGGTTTAGGCTTTCGGATCCGGAAGCCAGTTGCAAAAGGCTTTCGGATCCGACAAGCCGTGAGAATGGCTGCCCACAAGCCATCCTTATCCCGAAGCTCCATGAAACCATCGACATTCAACCCAAAGCTAAAAGATCCCTATATAACTCTCAAGCTTTTCAATTCTAAACCCTACAGTACATTATATGACCAGGTAGAACCCTAAACCCCATAACCCTAAACCCCATGTAAGTCAACTGTTCTTCAGAGACACCCTGCAATGCGGGCTTCGTCCTTGCTAGGTAGGACGGAAAAAACCATGTAACCGTTTACCTAAACCCTAAACCCTAAACCCTAAACCCTGAACCCTAAACCCTAAACCCTAAAGCCTCAACCAGAAGCCCGAAGCTTCGGAGCAGTGGCGCAAGGCGGCGAGCGGATCCCCGTGGAAGAAGTCGTGGACGCAGCGCTCCTGTCCCCCGGGCTGCAGATTCTGCTAGCTCTAAGGGGATGCAGTTTAGGAATAGGAGAATCGCTAGTACATAGGGTTACCATGAGGGCAAGTATAGCAACAACGTCTACTGGAATGGCCGTGTCTGGTCAACGTCTTCGCAGCTGAAGTCTCGAAGCGAACATTTGTCCCAAGCTTAACCGACTGCCATCAACGATCGGGACCTTACCCCGAAGCAGATGTAAACGGAGAGAAGCCGAAAGCAAAACTTCGCGCCCTTCGGCGAGGCTTCAGCAGGTAACCTACGGTGTGGCTTTCCTGGCATCAGGCGGGGTTTGTTTCTGCACTCGGGTAGGCAGGAGCAGAGTTTTGGGGCTCGAAGCCTCCGGGTTAAGATTAAAGGAGCATGTGGCTTGCTTAGGGCTGTTCCTGTCCTATCCGACCTATCCAACAAGAATCAGCCTCCTAAACCCTGAGCCCTAAATTCTTTCAAAGGTATTCTCCTGACTTAACCCTGCAATGCTGGCTCGTCCTAGCTAGGTGGGAGGCCCTAAAATCTAAGACTTTCGTCAGCACACTTCAAAGCAAACCCTAATAGGTTGGATAGGGTGTAGGCATCAAGAAAGATCAAGGCGCCAGCAGCAGAGTTTCGGCTGTCGCTGTTTTCGCAGAACCGACATCCCCTGAACCCTCAAACCGAAACCCTGGACCCTCAACAGTAAACCCCAAACCCTCCTAAACCCTAAACCCCAAACCCTTGACCCTACACACCAAACCGTGAACCCTCAACCCTGAACCCTAAGCCCTTGTCAGCCCTAAACCCCAAATCCTCAACCCCAAACCCTAAACCCTTAACCCTAAACCCTCAACCCTAAACCCTTCTCTCATCCCCAAGGCGCAGAAAGTTTCAGGGCTCCCGTGACCTCCAATTGAAGAGTTCCCCAGAGACCCAATACCCGAATGTACCTCAAATCATAAGATGAGCCCTTAAAAAGACAAGGCATATTCCGAAATCACAGGGTATTGGGCGCCTTGGGTCATGCAACTCCGTGCATCCTGAAGCCTCATAGTATGGCTTTCCAGGTTTCGGACAACCCTAAACCACTTAACATTAAATGGAGGCAAGCCGCCGGAAGAGCAATCAGAAGAGGCCACTTGCTTCGTGAGTGCCTTTCCGCTTTTGGTTGACAAGCGCCTCAAAAGCTATGTGTCGCTCAAAAGAGTTGGGACGGCGCACCAACCTCCCGCCCCCACCCTCACCCTAAAACCCTCGCCCTCAAGCCTCCTCTAAACCTACATACCTTACCCTTCTTGAAGGATCACTGGGGAGTAAGTAGGTTATAATTTGGTTTATCAATCCCCTAAGTCCCTAAAGTGGGGCTATCCTAGTCATCACCTACATATGACCTTTCGTACTAAGTCCCATGAGCCTTTATGTACCCTATCCTAGAGAGACGAGGCAATGGCTAGTTCAGTCTTAGCTGTATCACTACTATTTTGTAGAGAACCATAATAATAAATAATTTTCATGGGGCTTAAAGGACGACTCAGTAGAGCGATGAAGAACTAAGAACCTAACAAGCGAAGTCACACGACCCAATCCGGACGCACGAATCCACCAGTGGGAGTTTCCGAAAATAGGGGTACCTTTCTTTGGGGTGCTTATGCTAAGGGTACTATATTTGGGTCCCCTATTTTCGGAAACCCCCAAGTAGCTTGCGAGCCCAAGCACAGGCCCCACCACCGACCCTGGAGTTGCTCTTCGACCGTGCCTTGGAGGACGGCGGTCTTAGTGTTTATAGGGAACTCCAGAAAGTTGGAATATCATTATCGTAACCCCTTTAAGGTAAATTATAGGGGATCCTACCATTAATCCATAAGGGGACTCCAGAAAGTTGGAATATGGTTTCAGGGTAGGATACCTTGTAATTTACCATAAAGGTTTTATGATAATCATATTCCAACTTTCTGGCTTTTACTTTAGGGATAAGGGGCGCTGGACAGCGAGGCCTGCTGCAAAAACAAAGGGATAGGGAGGTTTCTGAAAATAGTGCCTAGAGGACCTTAGTATTTATAGTGCCCTAAAAAGTAAGATCCTTATTATAAGTACCCCGCCTAAGGTACCTTTACTTTTCGCAAACTCCCATAAAGGGTTTGAGGAAAGGCCTAGGGAGTTCAGGTTTTAAGACTTTCGGATTAGCTGTCCCTACTAAGAACCATTATAGATCCCTTATAGTCGCCTTATAGACCCCTGAAAGAACCCCTTGAAAAGGAATCCTTATAGGAGTCCGTTCCCCCTTACCCTACTAAGAACCAGACAGTTGCTTTTGGTGCTGTGGCTGGGTTCTTTGGGGTTCCAGACTCCGCTCTGCTTGGCTGTCGGCCAGCCACGGAGCACTTATTATTGGGGACCCAAAAAGCACATAAGCATAAGCATTTTATGGGGATATCCCTACCTTATTGGGCTTCATTATAAGGGGATTTATATGGGATATCCCTACCCTAATTTTTGCTTATGTGCTTTTTTGGGGCCCTATATTATTTGAGGAACCAACTTTGGGTTTCCCGTGAAGCGCGCTTCAAGGGGTCTTATCCACAGTAGAACCCCTTCCACGCACGGTGGCAGCATGCGGCATGCACTCTGCGTAAGAAAGACCCTGCAAGAAGAATCCTGGTGGGGATCCGCGAAGCTCGTATGGTAATCAAGCCACACCTGCAACAACCCTCAGTCGGGCAGCCCGCTCAGCTTGTTCTGATAGCAAAACCAGACGATCTGTATTTGCATGAGTGTCAATACCATCGCTTGCCAAAGCATTTGAGCCTTCGACCGCTCACTGCGAAGCCACACAAAGGAGGCACCAAGAGAGCCCAATACCCCTTTATTGAGGAACCCCAAACATCCTTAAACCGTATTCGGGATCCTATTCCTTAACTAAGGGGCATTGGGCTCCTCATCCCCTGCATCAAGATCTCTTTCCCGGTGTCCCTTGTTACAGGAGGTGCTGCAAAGACGCCACAAGATCCTTGGGTTTCCAATTTTGTCATGAGGGGGCATGCCTGTAAAACCGCCAGATACGACAGCGACCGAGAGTGCGGTGAAAATTTGATGCATAAGAGCTTCCGCAGCTTGTGCCGAGTGGAGCCGTGCTTTGAGGCTATAGGGCCACAGGCCCAATATCCCCAATCTCAGCACGTTTTGGGAAACTCAGGAGCGGGCATCGCAGCTCCCCTTCTTTGAATTCGAGAGAGCGGTCCATCGTCTACAAGATCCGAGGCGCCGAACCTTCTTTCTGACGGAAACGCGGAGCCGCGGAGCCATGCCTGCGTGGTGAAGAGCGCCGATTCCGAATCCTCGTTCGAATCCCCAACTTGGGTCCTGAAGAACTCCCATAAGCTCACGCGAAGAAGCACCACTTCGAGTAAACTTCGACAGTTTCTGGCAGCAGTTTCTGGCACAACACAGGGTATCCGCCTCCGTGATATATGTGTATAACTATAAATAAACTCACAAATCCATGCAACTAGGTGCATATATATATATATATATACACATAGTTATGTTGATACTATAATATATCTGTATGTATGTATGAAGATATAATATATATATATATATATATGTATGTATGTATGTATATATATATAGAGACATGTTTTTGAGCGACCAGAAGTCAGGCCGCCACTACGGATATGTCGCCGCTTGCAGCCGGATGCCTCCGGAGACGCTGGTGTCGAGCAGCAACCCGCAGCGAGCGGAAAGCGATCCTCGGATTAGTGAGGATCATGGGACTTAGTAAGTAGATCATAATTGGGGTTATAAGTCCCCTAAGTGGGGTTATCGTAATTACCTAGTAGTAGAGTAGGAAAGCTTTCACCTTTATTTTTTGGGTAGTTTTGCCCCTACATAATCCCTATATCACCAAAACGGTTAACCTTAGTTCCCCATGCTACTACCCGACAAGTAGGGCAATATAGGGGCTCAAACAATTACCTATACTTTGGGGGCTCCTTATTATAAGCATAGTATAATGGGCCCCAAAACCCAAGTCTAACCATTAAGGCCCCTATAGTACTGGTTCTTCTGCTGGAAATGCAGAACCTCCCTGTACCTACGACATCCAAAAAACGCAAAATTTCTGTTGGAGTCTGGGGGAGGGGGTTTGCGAAAACAACGTGGTTTAGCCAGTGCCGCGAACCCGGCTATGTGCAGCAGATGCCGTGCAGAGCTTTCATTCCGGCATACTTAATCAATGAATGTAGTCTTACAAAAGAGGGGGTTTACCGTTCCAAGACCCAGTACACTAAGGTCTTCATGGACGGCAGTTGGCCAAGCAGCGAGAGTGGGCTGCGAGAAGGAATGCTGCGCTTTTGGAAGCGCAGCTTTGCCGGGAGGTAGTAGGCATTGCTTCCCCTGCTCTGGAATCTCGTTTTACGGCATTGCTCCACCATCTCCTGTCAAAAGTTGCATGGCTCGAAAGCGAGGACTACCCTCAGGCCCCATAGTAGTTCCTTTTCGTGGTTCATGTATAAGGTAATCCCAAAAAGGAACTACTACGGGGCCTATGGGTATACGACACAGCGAGACTTCCCAGACCCCCAAAAGATGGAAAGGCCATAAAAGAACCCAACTGCAGAATGGAGTTCCGAGCCCGGATGGGGTTTCCGAAAATAGGGGACCCTAATATAGAACCCTAAGTAGTAGGATCCTTATTATAAGGACCCCCAAAAAGGTACCCCCTTCATCGATAACCGAGGTAAGCTTCAGCGGGTGGAGGATCTGGGATCCGCTGGACCCACGGCGCCTTTGCAGCATGGTAGCCCGGTTTCCCACAGACTCCATAATCCTTGTATTCAGGTATAAATAAATAAATAATAAATAAATAAATAAATAAATATATATATATATATATATATATTTACACACCTTAAATTATAGTAGGATCCCTAGCCCACGCAGCCGTCTTCCGTAGTGGCCCGTTCTACAGCAGCTCATCAGCTTCCTCTTTGGTTCACTGTCAGGGAATCTTGCGAATTAACCATCATTCCTAAACCCCAAAACAAAACATAAACCCTAAATAAAGCAGCCCTGCAATACGATCTGGTCTTGCAAAGTAGGAGCAAGAACTAGGAAACCTTAAACCCTCAGCTCTAAATCAACCCTTAGCGAACCCTAAGCCAGAATTCTCAGAACAAACCTTCTAACAGATACCGAACTGAACCCTAAACCCTAAATCTTATCGTAAACCTTGTAGCCCTAAGCCCAAAACCTTAAACGAAAATTGTAAACCTTGTAGTGTTCCTGATTATATTTACAGTTTAATATACCCTTAAACCCAATTCCAATTCTTAAGGCCCCTATATCATAGAGTCTTACCATAGATCCCTTATAGACCCTTTTCAGGAACCCTTTAAATCTAAAGGAACCCTACTCTAACTATGAAGGCCCCTACAGTAGCAGATCCCACGACCGGAGTCGCCCATTAACTGAACCCCTAAACCCTAAATCTTATAGTAAGCCCTAGGGTTTAGGGTTAACCCTAAACCCTAAAAACCCGTATCAAAAATTCTTGTGGCAGATCTCGAGGTGGCAGTCGCCTCTGTACCCGATGACGACTGTGAAGATCGCCTCCTCCTCGGCCGAGGCATCCCAGCTTTGAGGGGCTAGGGTTTAGGGAGTTTAGGGTTTAGGGCCTAGGGGTTTAGGATTTAGGGAGTTAGGGATGTTTGGTATTTAGGTTTGGGGTTTAAGGTGTCCTACAGCCGGGCTTGACGTTTCGAATGCGTGAGAGAGAGAGAGAGAGAGAGAGAGGGAGAGTTTAGGGTGCAAGTTTTAGGGTTCAGGGCTTGGGGTTTAGGGAAAGTTTAGGGGTTTTAGGGTTTAAGGCTCCGCATCTGCATCCCTCGTCAAACAAGAAGGCCCTGCTGTTGAGGAGTGTTCGCTGGCACACAATTCAAGCCCATGTTGAAGAGGGCTCAGAGTTTAGAGTGTATGGTTTAAGCCCCTGCAAAAGGGCGCATGGTGTAGGGCGAAGTGGAAAGCCTGCTGCAAAACAAAAGTTGTTCAAGTTTAGGGTTCGGGGCATCAAGCTTTTGTAGGCCTTCGAGAGTTCAGAGCTCAGAGCTCTCCCAGTATCTTCATTTTTTGAGATCTGTCCATGCCTTCTCTCATTAGAACATTTCAGTCGCCATGCTGCTAGTGGCCAGCTTGCTGCAGGGGTGCCATGGTTTGTGTGCAGCATCTTCCGCTGTAGCGATGCGTAGAACGTGAATGTATATTGGTATCAAAGACTGTAGCTGCTGTTATTGATCGTGTAGCATGGTATGTACTCACGATGCTTGATGTCATTTTGACGACTGCAGCACACGGTGCGATCTTGTCATGACTGCGGCTTTGCGACTCATACCCGTTATCGTGTGCACCAGGGCACCTTTAGCCATCATTAGTTTTGCCGGCACTGTCAATAACTGTTTGGCTTTCAGTCGAACCCTTAAGTTTCTGCAATTTCGTTTTGCTGCCTTGCTTGGATGGAAGTGTTGCGGTAGGGAGGTTGGCACATCTTGGAAGCTGCTGCTACCATGGTTGGCTGCTGATTTGCTAGTTTCGCGACTTAGGGTTTAGGGTGTAGGGGTTTAGGATTTAGGGTTTAGGGTCGACATCCTGTGTTCTTATCTTCTTCACTAGTGCTGCTTGTGAAGCTTTCACTAAGATTTCATAATCAAGGCCATGACCGGACAAGAAGTTTCTCTTGTCGGGCTAGGCATGTTGGAAGCCTGAACAGATGCTCGATCTGTAATTTGTGATGCAAGGTGCCTAAACCCGAAAGCCGTTGACCCCGAAGCTCAATGTACTGCTCACTGCCCGTACAGGGCTTAGAGAGTGGTATCATAGCATGATAGAACATAGACAGGCCCCCATGCTATACCCTATGAAGTAGACCCTTAACCCTATACCCTTATAGAATCCCTATAGATCCCTTTAAAGGGACCCTTAAAGGAACCCTCATAGCTACCCATGAACCTCCGAGGCTTCTGCAGCTTCATCGAGTGCCTGGTCGGCGGAGTTACCGTCCGCTTGGGCGATCCGGTCAAGGCGCGGTGGGCCTTAATATAGGGGCCTAAATCATTACCTATACTATTTTGGGGTTCCTTATTAAAACTATAGTATAATCTATCCCAGACCCTATTCTAATTATTGAGGCGCCTATATTTGTTGTTTTTTGCACTCTAACGGGTTCCTATCACGGCTCGACAGGGCTTCACAGGTCTTAGGGTATGATGCGACTTAATCGTGTGGAGTCTTGCTGAGGAAGCTCCTCAGCAGGACCTTAAACGATTAGTTGAGAACATGTTTCTATTATGGTAGTATTCTTAACAAGACCCTGCTGTCTAGCCTTTGGAGAGCTGGCGGAGTCGGACCTCCCATTGAAGCTGGTTCTGACAAATGCTCTGATAGTGTTCTGCCTGCAGGAGGTATGGCAAACAGAGTCCATGGTGAAGATCACCACGCGTCCTGGTCACAGTGAGCCGTAAGTTTCCAGGGTGTAGGAACCGATGAGCCGCCGCCAATTCCTTGCAAACCGGCGCAGTCAGAAAACTTTGTCATATGTCCTTCGGAGCCTGAGCACTAAGACATCGTTCAGAAGGCTTTCGGTGAGGTACCCCGGCAGCAAGGATCCCCTATATGCTTGCCCACACCCGAAACTCTTCTGGGGAGGAGGACGTTGTGGGAACCTATCGTTTTCAAGGTTTGTAGTGGTCGGGAACGACGTACCAAGGAAAAGCAAACATAGAATTATCAAACCAAAACCGGAAAACCCTCAAGCCCTCCAAGTTGCGACGCATCATTGCACTCTATATACCTTGCATATATCCTAATGAACACCCTGTAGCTTATAGAACTCCTTATAGCATTCCCTCTACAATACCACCTAAATTGAATCATATATACCATTCAGAACACCCTTTACATACCCTATAGAATGCCCTCTACAATGCCCTATACAATACCTTAAAATATACCTAATAGAATACCTTATAGAATACTCTGCATAGTACGCGCAATGTACCCGATATGTATGTGTATGTACATATACCTATATATATATATACACACCTTACAAAGACATCTGGAATAGCCTGCAGAGTACCTCATGGAATATCATCTACATGCAAGATACCCCCTGCGAACGGACTGCGATGCCTTGTCAAGTTCCAAGGTGTCACTATAAGAGCTGTGAGCAAGACCATGTAAAGTGCAAGGGAAGGGGGCACGCTACGCGTCCCTCGACCCTAAGGGGGCACGCTACGCGTCCCTCGACTCTAGGAGTAAGCTTGTGGACGTGCTGCGCACACCGCATCGCTTCTCCTTACCTTTCTATGTGACCGCCCACGCAACGTTTGGCTCAAGTCAATGCCCATAGCTAAGTGCTATATGTGTCTTCTATCCTGAGCAATCAGAGCTATCCCGTGCACAGACGAACCGCCGCCGGCAGCGAGTGCAAAAGGAACGGCCGCCGGTTCTGCCTGCATAGGATCGCACGTGTGGAAGTGTGAGAGAGACAGGGTCCAGTCTGTGGAGAGTGCAAGCCAGCCACACCTACATTCATTACAGCTCTGGTGGGGAGAGCAGCAACCAATCGAGATCAAATCCCCACGCAGGTTATCAGCCGTACGCGGCTCTGCCTTTCTACAGCAACGACTACTTGATCTACTACGACCACAATGAACTCGGGATCAAGCCAAGATACGACAATGACTTTCGGTGCCGATGTGGCAGCGCCAGCCGTTGGTGAGTCAACAGCTGATGACACAGTGGTGCAATCCGTTGATAGCTCCACGGAAGATGACAAAGGTCAATCTTCTGCGCTTGCCATTGCAAAGGCAGTTCCCAAGGTGAAAGCAAAGAGTCTACCAAGAGCATCTACGCCTTCGCGTCCGACATCCACAGGTTCGAGGACGGGCAAGGCTCCAGAACGACGAGCCGAAGCGTCTGGTTTTCAGGCACCTCGGACTACGTCCAGGGCCAAGGACAAAGGAGTGAAGACCTTGGAAAAGAAGTCGAGACCATCATCTTCGAGAAGCTCTTCAGCACGATCAAGGACTTCGGCTACTCGTGGGCGTGACAAGTCCATGACTTGGAATCGGATGGTTACCAATCAACCACGCGATGCTGACGATCTGGATATGACTCTGGACACTATTCCTGCACGTGGTGATGCGTCATCGGTGACCACGCCAGCCATAGCCGATGGTCCGAATGCCTATCAGGAACTGACGATTTCGCAACAGCTCGAAGCATCGAACCTTGCGCAGCAGATGTACTATCGCAGTCAGATGCAAGAGTACGAAGGAGTTGTCCAGACCCTGATGGATAAGATCAAGGAGATGCAACAAGAAGATGAAGGATCTGGGATTCGCATCGAAGAATTGGAACGACAACGTGACCATGCATGCTTAGCCATGAGGCACATCAACAATGTCAATCAGGAGATGAAGCGAGACTATGAAGCAGCTTTGTTTCGCATGGATGAACAGAACTCTGCTCAACAACGTCAAGCACACGCCGTTGCCGAAGAGTTGGCTCAGCAGCTACATGTGTTTCGCACAGAAGCAGCCACTAACTTTGTGCAGTTGGAGGCAAGAGCGCAAGGCGATGGCGAGCTTATGGCACGCGAGTATGAGCGTCTGACTCATGAACTTCATGAACATGCCAGAGAGAACTTGTTCCTCCGGTCGAACACAGCAAGTTCGGAACAAGCCTTACAAGCAATGCAGGAACGATTCCACTTGGTCAAGAATCAGGAGTTGCGGGCCGTGAACGAGATCCAAGGGCTAGCTGGGAGCAGCGCAGCCATTGATCAAGAACGACTTCGGCTTCGCGAACGTCTTGGTGAAGAGGAAGAGTACCGCAAAATGGCTGTGAGGAGGATGCAAGATGCAGAGGACCGACTTCATCAGAATGAAGATCATGCAAGGCGCGCATTGCCTACCTTGCACGACGAGCTGAGTGAACTCAGGAAAACACTCAAAGCACAAGAAGATCTTCAAGCGAGGACACGCAGCGAATTGGAGGCAGCACGGAACTCCAACTACCATGGCGGAGTGACACGGCCTTCGAGCATGCCCATGTCTTCGAGGACTACTGAGTCTGGCTGGGAGCACGTAGGAAAGGAAGTAGTGCCTGCATTTTCCGTAGGAGGTGAGGTACGATCCCCTGAAATACGGTCCCCAAGTCAAGTTAGTCCAGTCGCCAAAGAGAAGCTCGCATTCTCGGAATCGGACAAGGACAAGAACCTTGCGATGGATGAAATTCCATTTACCGGTGGAAACTTCTTCACTGGCCGCATCAAAGGTGAGGTGAATAAATCCTATTCAACGCCAATCGTGGCGGCGGATGCAATGCCCGAGCACTACGTGCCAGGTATTAGCAGCCCAGCACTTGCGCGTTCCACGCCTAGTGCAGCCACTCTGTTTGGCATACCAAGCGGATTTCATGGGCAAAGTGATGCGGCAGCCGTGCGTGATCGACAGCTACGCGAACTCTTGGAGGATCGCGGGATGTTGGGATCGAAGTCCACAGCATCTGCCAGCTCCTCAAGACCTGTTGGTATCGACGGCATTATCGCATCTACGAAGGGCAACGACCTCATTGGTCCCCCTGTCGCCTATGACGATTCTATCCATGAGGCAAGGAGGCGTCAGATCGAGAAAGAGGTCGCGGAACGGTACGAAGAGAAGATTGCCGATCTGCGAAGCGAAGTACTCAAGGCCCAGAAAGCCGAACAGCGTCTCAGAGCTGATCGTGATGAGTGGAGATTATTTGCTGAAACGATTCAGGAAGACAATGGAGACGATGACGGTGATGAAGCTGGCGACGAGAACGGAGAGGGAGAGCATGATGAAGGAACCGGCACGGGGTATGATCCTCCAGATCCGCCTGATGATGACGATGATGATAAGAAGAGAAGCGGTGGAGGCAAACCTGACCCGGATCCTGACCCTCATGCACGTGATCCTGATGGAGACGCAGATCCTGAAGTCACAGAGGTGAGAATTTCCAGGAGGGAAGCCGATAAAGTGACCGTTCCTCCATGGCCTACTCTCACTCACCTTAACAACTGGCGATCCGTATGCACGGCCAATGTTTTAGGAGCATCAGCCGACCCAAATCATGAGGACTGGATGTTATGGCTGGCACCAGCGTTCAACCCATTCCCTGACGTCGAAGCACTGAACGATTCAGGACACAAGAAGTTCAAGAGCGTAGACGTCAAATTGGGGATCACCATGGTCGCAATGCTACGCGCTGGTGGTGACAAATCTGCTGATCTGTACCTGGAGGTGAACCGGAAGGCCAACGATTACATCAGCAGGCCCGAAGGGAAGATCATCAAAGGACGACAAATCATTGCGATGATGTATGAAAGTTTTCGAACGCACGATCGTCTCGACATGATCATCACTCTCGAGTATCTGGTGAAGCTCCAGTACCAAGGCGACAACAAACTTCATACGTTCAAGCAGACGTGGTTGGAAGTTCTGGGACGGATGAGGCCAGAAGACATACCATCCAAAACAGCTCTCCGTGATTGCTTGTACAGCAAGATCAAGGACTCGCCCGCAATGAAGATGGAGTTGGGCATGCACTACGAACACTTGCCCTACAATCATGAAGACCGATCGTACGACAATCTGATGAAGATCATCGACCGTACCATCATGCGGAGACGAGAACAATCAAATCTCACTCAGACCCAAATTGGCTTGCGCCAGATGCTTGAGGGCAAGGATTTGCTCGCTGCACCGGCCAAGGTACCTGAGAAACCTACGCCTAACGCAGCTCCATCCGCAAAGGTCAAGGCTTCGCCGACCAAGCCGGATAAAGCAACACCTGTACTACCTCAAAGCAAAGCGAAGAGTCATGCGAAGACCAAGCCAAAGCCCAAGAAGAAGACGAGGAGTGAGTCAGCGGACAACAGAGGCGACAAGAGCAAGAAGCAAATCCGCTGCAAGTTCCATTTCACAGATGCAGGGTGTCGAAATGGTGACAAGTGCCCATTCAGTCACTCGAAGAAGACTCCAGAGCGACCCTTTACGCCGAGGACGAGAACTCCAAGTCCGTCTGGAGGAGGAGGAAATAGGATATGCTACTCGTTCAAGAACACAGGCTCGTGCTCAAGAGAGAATTGTCCTTTCAAGCATGAGGCAGCAGCTACCCCAGCTCCGGAACCAAAGGCAAAAGCTAAAGCCAAATCCGAAGCAAAGGCAGCTCCAGCGAAGCCGAATGCCAAGGCCAAGGCACTCCCTGCGGCACCCGCCATCAGATTGTGCCGAAGGTGGAATCCATCAGCCCCGGCTATATGGAAGCGATCTTCAAGACAAGATGAGGAGGAGTCAGATTGTCCATCCGTTGACAGCGACGCTGATTCGGATTGTTCAACAGACGATGAATCCTCGGGACCGACTACGTCGACCCGAAAAGAGATCAAGCGTAATGTGACATTTG